AGTACACAGTATACGCATCCATACCTGCACAGATCGAGTAGGTGTGTACACACACACACACACATACATTCAGTTGGTTGGTGGTCAAGCACCCGTGCTCGTGATCCATGCAGGAAAAAACAAATAAGAGTACTTGACGCGGTGTCCGTGTCTGTCTGTCTGTCTGTACTGGATATATGTATGTAGGTGTCGTGAGGTATTCGACTCCAATCGATTCATGGTGTGATAGGAAAGCACAACCGTGGTTCACACACACACACACACACACGGAATGAACGCCACACCTCCGCCGTGTCCAGCGCCTTTCTTTCATACACCACTCCACTCCAGCAAGACACTTGAGAATCTCTTAGCTATACAGTACATTTCAGTGCAGCCAAGCATAGCGGTAGCGTAGACACGAAGGATATCACACCTCCCTCCCTCCCTCCCTCCCTTCATTCATCCATCCATTCATTCAGAGCCAGCCGAGCCCCAGGCCCTTGGTGGTCGGCTTGAATTTGACTTTGGAGCGGACACTAGGCCGGTAGGCCAGCTGCGGGCCATGCAGAAAGTACTTGACGCCCAGCACGACCACACTCAGCACCACCTGGCCCTTGACCACCGTGCGAAGGCGGCTGTCCTGGCACATCAGCCGAATCGTCTGCTCGGTCTCCTGCACGATAATGCCGTCAAGACCGATGTAACTCGGCACCCTGGCCTTGTCCACTCTCACAAATGCGCCATGCAGGTCGGCCGCCGCCAGCCGGCTGCCCCTCTCGGTGATGGGCAGCCGCTCGTGCATCAGCTGCTCGGCGTACTGGCTCCACAACTCATTCAGGGGGAGGCAGTCGGCATAGCTCAGTGTGCCGTCTTGCAAGTCGTAGAGGCCCCGCCTCCGCGCCTCGTTGTTGCTCATCTTGGTGAGCCGCCGTGGCGGCTTCTGCTTGGTCTTGGCCTCTCCCTGCTGCTGCTTCTTGCTGGGCTGGTTGTCCAGCCGCATCACTCGCCCCTTGACCTTGCCCTCGTACACGGCGGCCGGGTCATCTCGCATCGACGGCACCGCGTCCGTCAGGAAGTCGAGAGCAGCATCGTCCGCCGTGGACGAAGGGGGATGGGGATGCTCTGCCGAAGCCCCTGGCGCGTAGAGAGGGTGGCTTGGGCGTGACCCATCCACATTTTGCCGATCCAGATATCGCTCAGCGGCAGCCCGCGCATTCTTGCGGGACACGTTGTGACGACTCATTCCCTTTCTTTGCCCTTTTTGCCATGGCGAGCTCAGACCCGGGCTCGCATAATTGCAAGCTCAGCCCTCAGCTCGCAAAATATTCCCTGCTTTTTCCTTCGTCAGACGTTGAGAGCTCATCAAAGGGAAGCGACCTATGCGACAAAATCGCTAAACGAATGTGCCACTTTCGCGAGAAACGGGGTGATCGAGTGAGGATCGAATTCCTCTTTTTCTCGAACCTGGGAAATTCGTTTGCGATTTTGTCACGGGAGGCGCTGCCCCGCGTGGCTATCAGCATACTCAGTCAAAGAAACATCGCCAAAATGGCGAAATGCAAAAAGGGGCACCGGGAAGCTGAGCTCGCACGCTGACTCGTGCTCTAAAAAGCTCAGCAGACGGCAGCTGACACTCGTTGATGTGCTTGGATGGAAGATCTGCCGACACCGACGCCAATGCTGCTCTTAGATGCAGTTCTATCCCTGGTGATCAACATGCTCGCCCACTCTGTCAACGCCGCCTTCGTCCCCCTCCCGCTGTGAAGGCAATGAAAGTGAGCGTCCCACAGCCCACCGCGGCCCATCGTCGTTCTCTCTCACCTCCCAACGTGTTCCTGTGGGATCTGGCCGGTCTCGCGCTTCACGCGGGCCCCCTGTTCCTGCGGCAGTGCCTCACCTTCGACGAGGCCACGAAGAAGCAGTGCGAGACCGGCATCTCGCGCTGTGTGCGGCGGGTCTTCTGGGGAGCGGGGGAGGGAGAGGGCGGCAATGGTCCATTGGAGCTGGAGTGTCCGGCAATCAAGCGGTTTTCTGTGCTGGACGAGCGGCAGATGGGTGAGGCAATGGGCTACTTGAGGCAGGAGGGTTACTGCGTCATCGGGGACGTGATGGCCGCAGCGATGCTGGAGAGATGCCGTGAGGGCGTCTGGGATTGGCTCGAGAGCACCAACCAAAACCTGAGCAGGTCAGTCAGCTAACAGCAGGTCACGTCACGTGCATTGCATGAGATAGACAGACTGACGGCGCTGCTGTGCCTGCCCATGAGCTACCTCAAGTAAGTGTGTAAGTATGAGAGAAATGACAGCACACCGGGCGAAAGAGCGGCGGTTGTGGGAGTGTGTGTCGGTGTCGATGTGTGTGTCAGTCTGAATGAGAACATGTACATTCAGATCGTCACGTTTTTTCTGCAGTTCGGCGCCATCGGCCTGATCATCATCTCGTCGATCATTCGGTCATTCCAGCAGGAGGAGCGCACCCACTCCCCAGTGACCTTCCCCCCTCTAGTCGGCGACACTGGCTACGGCGCCGTCTTCGGCATCATGGTCGCCTCCTACTCCTACGTGGTGCTGATCCCCTCCTGGTGCAACGAGGTCCTCCCGTCCACTCGAGTCATGCCCGTCGTGTGGATGTCGGCCATCCTCTCCGCGTTTCTCTACTTCAGCTTCGCCTTGGTGGTGTGTGGCGTACCCCGCTCTCAACAGCAGCAACGCGTTCGTGTACATGACCAACGAGCCGTCGACGGGGATGCTCACGTTTTCGTTCACCACCGTGCTGCCCGGCATTCCTGTCATGGCCATTGCGAGTCGTTACAACCTCTATAACAGTGGTCTGTGCGGTCAGCAGGGGGCGTTCTTCTGCGGCTGCTGTGCCCCCTGGCTGGTCGCGTGGGCCCTGTCCAATCGGCGGCTCTTCGGCAGTGTGTGTGTGTCTCTCTTTCTCTCTGTGTGTGCAGTTCTATCACGGCAGGTGTGTTGGCCAACTACTTCCTGCCCGCTGTGGTGTATCTGCTGGCTATCGCCCGCAAGACCAGGACACAGCCACTCCCACACGCACACGAGGAGGGCGGCTCGGGTGCGGCTGCCACAACGATGCGGGCAGGCAGTCCGACGCCGTGACGGTCGCGGACGACACCCAGGAAAACTCCCGCGTGTCGTCGGCCACCAGCTGAGATGAACGGCGCTGAGGAGGGTGGCAGGGAGGAGCGGCACCAAGGCAGCAAGCGGCGGATGAGGCACAAACTGGCGCCCTACCTACCCGACGACACGTCGCCGGCAAAAGACGAGCATGAAGCGGCTGGGGAAGAGGAGTCGCCCCGCTCACACGCGTCGACGCTGCACTCGGCGTCTGAAGCGGAGCGGCTGGAGCAGCTGCTGCGGCAGTATGTGGACTGGCATGAGCGCATTAAGTGTGTGGGGGTGCTCGTGTATCGAGCGGCGGCCCTTCTGGGCCACGGTGGGGCTGATGCTGGCGCTGGCGGCCATGATTGCCTACTCTATCGCTGACGACCTCATGCAGGCGTACAAGAAGAGCTGACATGACAGAGGGGAGAGAGGGAGGGAGGGTTTTTCCCTCATGTGGGGGTTGGGGGAGTTGTGTGTTGTATTTCTGCTGCAGTGTATCGTATTGCGTGTCCGGGCAGTGCACTCACTGTATCGGCGTGTACGCTAGTTACGGCAGGTGGGAGATGGGAGAGGAGCGGCCGATTGGTGCGGTGCATTCGGTTAGTGAGTGATTTTCCACCGCCCATGTATCTGGTCTGGTGTACTCTATCGACGCGGAACAGTCAAACAGACAGATGGATTCACGCATTACCATCCATACCGTCCCCCCACACCAGTTAGTGTCATTTCATAGTTTTCATTGGTGTGGTGAGGGTGTGTGCATGTGTGTGTGTGAATGACGGATGACAAACATGCGCCTGGTTGTCTGGCTGGTTGATCTGTCTGTCTGTCTGTCTAGTTGGCGTGTCTGGGGTCTGTAAAGGGTGAAGGATGATGTGACCGACCAACACACGGATTGAATCCGTCAAGTACACACATGCAAAGACAAGAAGTGTTGAAAAGCGATGCTGCGTATACATACATCACACACACCTCGAATGAACATTCAACGGAGGGAGCCAAGGTCGGTCCAATGCGCATACCTACACACACACACACGCATCTACTCATCTATCCATCCCTGTCTCTCTCGATCGATGCGTGCCACGCCCACCACGCCGACTAAGTCACACGTTTGCAGAGTCCCGCTGGTGAGGTCGTGTGTGTTGCCTGACCCACCAGTGAGAGAGTGTCTAGACGAAGATCTGCATGCCGCCCCCCAGGCTACAGCAGGAACAGTGTGCTCTCCTTCTGGATGTTGTAGTCCGACAGGGTGCGGCCGTCCTCGAGCGGCTTGCCACCATAATTGAGTCGCTGCCAGCTGATGCGGATGCCCTCCTTGGCCTGAATCTTGGCCTTGACAGTCCTGATGGTGTCGCTGGGGTGGACGTCCAGTACTCCGGTCCTGCCTGCATGTAAAATAGTCACAATGTGGAGACTGGTTCGTGAGAGTCTATGTGTCTGACCTGGGATGCTTCTGTAGAAGATCTGGAAGGTCGGTCGCCGCTCTGTGGCCGAACACGCAAACACACCTGAACATCAGAGCGACACGAAGGCGCACTCCATGAAATGTGTGTGCGTGGCTGCGTCCCCCGCCCCTTTTCATTCGTGTGTACCTGTGTTGATGGCCTCGTTGACCTGTGGGAGTAGAGTGATGGCGTCGCCCATCTTGTTGCGGGCGATGCCCACTGCCTGCGTGGAGGCAGCAGGGCCATCGCCGGCCTGCTGGGGCGCCTCGGTAGTGAAGAGGGAGATGGATGCCGGCCGATAAGACCCCTTGGCCATCTCGATGTACGCCGCTTGTCGCCCTCCTCCTCGCCACACAGTATGACGAGTCGGTATGAGCCGCCGATGGTGCTGTAGTCGATGGTGCGGCAGCCGTCCCACAGGGGCGACTGCTGGTCGACCAGGGCACCGATGTCACGACACTCAGCAGAGGGCAGATGCCAGTTCTGATACGACACACAACGCAACGACCACTCTGTCAACCTGAAAGAGCAAGGAGCGGAAAGACAGACAACACGACACCTTGCTGTACTGTTTCTTCTCTCATTTCAGTCGCTGCGTACCTCCTGATGACCAGTCCTCTGAAGCTGCTGAGCTCGAGACCATTGTCTGCAGACACACAGACACAGCGGCAGACACCATCCATGTCAAGTTGCCTTTCCTGTGGTGCTTTCCCCTCCCCTCTCTCACATCGGCACGGGGGATCGGCCGCATCGAAGCGATTTCGATACCTCCTCGGCACCGTCTGGTCGGTGTGCACCGTCACCTCATACCCACCCAGCATCTCCCGCCCGTTGGCGTTGCGCGTCAGCCGCATCCCCTCGCCCAGTCGGTGGCTGAAGAGGCTGTACTGGCGGATGCTGGGCGGCCGGCTGTCGATGACGGCCTTGCTGCCCACACGGTGCAGGTCGTGCTTCGTCAGCTGAATCGGCAGCGACTGGATCTGCCCGCAGCTCTTGGCCAGCCGCAGCAGCGGCACGTTGCCCCGCCAGTCGCCCCCTGTCACCACCACATAGTGGAGGCGGATCAGCCGGAATGGACGACACACGTCCATCGCCCGACCCGGCTGCCGCTGCAGGTGCCAACGGATCTGGGTGTAGCCGATGACGCCTGTGAGGCCGTCGCGTTCGATGATGCTGTCGATTTGGGGGATGAGGGCGGCCGCGACGGCGCTGCCGACTGCCGGTGAGGTGCAGCAGAGGGCACTGCTGACCTTGGCGAGTGCGGTGTGCAGGTGCTGCTGGTCCATGAGGGGGAGGAGTGTGCCGTGCATGAGGGCCTCGGGCAGGGCGTATAGCTGCCGCAAGAGCCCCATGGCGTCAACCTGACACGCGCAGCACAGCATACGTTGGCCGTAATGATGTCAGCAGCACGGTGCAGCAGCTGTCGTACCTTCTTCTGTGTCTTTGTGGCCTTAGTGGTCTCATCAGTGACGGCCTTGTTGGCAAATCGGCTGCCAGGGCCCTGAAGCAAAAGCAGCAATACGTCACGAAGGAAGATATCCACACACACACACGGCATACGTGGCATCGTACCTGTGCCACCATCTCTGTCTGCGAGGCGACTGTGTTGGATGAGTGGTCAGAGAGATCCCCATTGCCTGCACGCACAACACACACGACATGTCACACCCGCCATCCATCTCCCTGTCTGCCCACATGTCCTCTCGTCTGTGTCTGGAGCCAAGCCACCTACCTACCTGGTGGTGTAACTTCACCAGACGCGCCACGGGATCAGACGACTTCTGCACAGCACACGCGACGTTGTCATGAGAAACAGACGAATGCATGACGGTCTCTGCCTGTTTGTGTGGCCGCATCTTGGCTTACCGACTGCTCATCTCCTTGTGTGCCGATCGAACTACTGCCACTGCTATAGAAGACACTACCTGACCGACACAAACACCACACCACACAACTAACCCTTTTCTCCCTCTTCCAACCAGTCAGCCCACCTGCAGCAGCAGCTGATGCCGATGTGCTGCTCATAGCTGCCGCCCACTGGCCTCACGGCAGCCCACACAACGCCTGAAGACCACCGCACACGCACAATGGCGCAGTGAGTGCGTCGCTCCCACGCGCATGTGCTCACCGGCGAGAGAACAGCGACTGTCGACGAGCAAATCAGTCAAACGATGAGTCGATAAGCCAATCAATCACAGCGCCGCGCAGCACTCCGCCAGACGGGAGGGCTCACGACGAACACGCAATTGCGAACACGGCAGAGAATGCGATGAGATCTCTGTCGTGCGGGACAGAGGGAGCCCTCTGAGCTGATGGTTTCGTCTGGACGCGCGCAAAAACCAACAACTGCCGAACTCCTCCTTTCAGCGCGCGAGATCGAAACCATGCCGCTGACGTGATTGTGTGAGTGGGTTGGTGCAGTGAGGGTTTGTGTATGTCTGATGGATGACAAACATGCGCCTGGCTGCCTGTCTGGTTGATGCGTGTGTGTGTGCGTGTCTGTCTGTATAGTTTGCGTGATGCTACTGCGCATGTGACTCCTGATCCATATGACTGGCAGGCATGTGACCACATGACATCTGAATGGTAAAGCACTCAACCAGCCCGTCAGTCAGATCAAGGAGTTCACCACGCACCGCCTGGCCTGCACGAATATGAATCCGACGACAACCAGTGTGTGTACACAAAACTGGATGCGGTGGATACATGCCATACATGCTGAAGAACGGCTCGGGATCCATGCATTGATGATCGCGTGTAGGGATTGGATTTGTGTGAGAAAAAACACGCATAGAAAAAGTGGACGGCTACAGAAGCATCCATTGCATCCCCCCACCAGCCACGCCACGCCCATTGCCAGGTCACATGCTCATCTCAGAGTCGTCCACCCGTCAGATGTGTACGTCACTCCACATCAGCTACACTAACACCGCCGCGACAGCTGTGCACACACATGAAGAGAAAGTCTTGCCCCTGTGTGGGTCTCACTTTGCAGTCGCGTGTACCTGTATTGGAGGCCTCGTCGACGTCTGGGAGGGCTCTGATGTCGTCGCCCATCTTGTTGCGCGCGATGGACACTGTCAGGGGGGAGCCAGCAGCGCCTACGCCGCTCTGGGGCGCCTCGGTGGTGTACAGGTACATGTCTGCCGCCCCATCAGGGTACATGTGTCCTGTGTACTTGGTCATCTCGATGAAGGCCAGGAAGTCATCGCCCTCCTCGTCGCCACAGAGTATGACGAATCGGCGGGGTGTGTGGAGGTGGTAGCCGATGGTGCGACAGTCCCACAGGGGCGGCTGCTGGTCGAGCAGGACATTGATGCGGTGACACTCAGCAGAGGGCGGACGCCCGTTGTAGAAGCGGTTTGACACCAAACGCGATGACCCGAAGGCCATGCTGGGAAGGCAAGAGCAAACAGCAGGTTGCCGTCTTGTGTGTGCCTTCCACTTTGAGCGGTGCCGCATCGCACCTCTTGATGATCATTCCTCTGAAGCCATCGTACACGACACCACCGTCTGCAGACACGGAAACAGGGAGGGAGAAGACCATCTAGGTCGAGTTGCCTTTCTTGTGGGCTTTGCCCTCCCTCTCTTACATTCGCACACAGGATCGTCTGGATCGAATCGATCTCGATATCTGGCCGGCACCGTCTGGTCGGTGTACACCGTCACCTCATCCCCGCCCATCTCGTCCCCCCCGCCGGCATCACGCGTCAGCCGCATCCTCTGGCTCAGTCGGTGGCTGAAGAGGGCGTATTGCCTCATGCTGGGCGGCCGGCTGTCGATGACGGCCTTGCTGCCCACGTGCTGCAGGTCGTTCTTCGTCAGCTCGATGGGCAGCTGCTTCACCCGTCCGCAGCTCTTGGCCAGCCGCAGCAGCGGCACGCTGCCGCGCCAGTCGCCCCCCGCCACCATCAGGTAGTGGAGGCGGATCAGTCGCAGTCGGCGCACCAGACGACGGACGCCGGTCGACTGGCGCACCTGGCGGTAGCCGATGACGCCGGTGAGGCCGTCGTGTCGGATGATGCTGTCGATGTCGGCGGCCACGCCGGCCTCGAGTGCGCTGCTGACCGCCTCGGATGTGCGGCAGAGGGCAGTGGAGTCGTTGGGGGTGATGAGAGGTAGGAATACGTCGCGCATGACGTCGGTGGGCAGGGACAGCCCAGGCAGGAAGACGGGCTGGGCAGCACCAGACGACTCGGGAAGGCCATCGACTCGGCAACGCTTCGCACCACCCTGGCCCTGCACGGCTTCCTGATAGCGACATCCATGGACACACAGACGAATAGCCGATGGGGTGGTCGTGTTTGTTGTGTTACGTTTTCGTCTTCCTCCCCCTCGTCCTCATCGTCTTCGTCGCCCTTGCCCTTCTTGCCCTTCTTGGACGAGGAATCGCCGCCAGTGCCTGACAAACATGACACGACACGACACACACAAATGGACACATGTGTGTGGTTGTGCGTTGTCGGACGGTCTGTCGGCTCACTGACTCTGCTTCCAGGCAGCGAGCAGCTCCTCAGCCTTGTCCTTGTACGGCTGACAGCCACAACACATACACAGGACACGGTGCGGTGCACCATGTGAGCTGAGCGTCCATCCATGTGAACGTCTCTCCCCGTCCGAGTTGACCTTCTTTTCGTCTTCGTCCATGGTGTTCCACTCCTCCCCGAGCCGTTTGTTGACGCCCTTGGGTGCGGCATCGACGCCCTCGGCCTCCATCTCCTGCTTCAGGGCCGCGCGGCGCTCGTTGCAAAACAGGATGAACTTGCCGGGCGGACGCTTGACACCACTGCCGCCCTCCTGATTTGGAGAGAGAAGACGGCAAGCATACGACAGGAGGGTCGTATGAGTGGAGTGGAGATCAGATCTGCGTTTGGTGCGGTGCGTGAGTGTGGTTTAGTGTGGTTTACCTACCGATTTGGCTGACGATGGCTTGGACGAGGTCTTGCCGCTCTTCTTGCTAGACTGCACACACCAAGGCACAAGACACCGCCCAAACACCTGTACACAGCACAGGTGGCCCCTCCCTCCCTGACTGACCTTTTGGCCCCCGGTGTTGTGGAGTTTCTTGCCGGCCAAGTCCCCCTTGGGGCACGACAGAAACTACACCACGCAATTCACAGGCCGTCATGTCAGTATTAGAGCGAAACAGACGTACCCCCTCATGTGCAGCGTCGGAGGCCTCCTCAGTCGTCTCCCGCGCACCACTGCTGCCCTGAACCGAAAACAAGAACACACACAGAGCATTATATGCAGAGAGAGAAGGCATACACACAGAGAGGCTATCGGCATCATTCCGACCTGCACTAGGCTATCCAGCCGTGCGATGGCCGAGCCGCAGCCTTCTGTGTGAGATGCGAGATCCGAGAGGGCTCCGCTGGCCATCTCCGCGCTAATGGGCGACCCCTGTGAATGACACACGTCACACCAGAATGAGCCACATAGGGCCAGCCAGCTGCCTGTGTGCCTTACTGCATAAAGCGATTCGAGAACCGCTTGACCCTGATCACACACACACGCGCGCACACGTGCGCGCGACGGATAGGGATGATGTAGCTGTGGCTCTTCTCTGTTCTGTTCTGCATACCCGCGACTGCAGCACACAGAGGTTCCTGAGGGCGTTGAGCAGGCTGCCGGCGACAGACGTGCTGCCTGCCGCACTCATCGACTGGTCTACGAGAGCACCGCTGCGATTGCCGACTCCAATATGTTCGCGGCCTGACCAACGAACACCACACCACATAAGTGGATCCTCCCCTCCCTCTCTCTTAAGCCAGTAGGTCAGCCCACTTGCAGCAGCTGATGCCGATGTGCTGCTCATAGTGCCACCCGCTGTCCTCACGGCAGCCCACACAGCGCCTCAAAACCACCACACACACAATGCGCACTGAGTGAGTGTGTCGTTCGCACGTGTCATCTCTCGTGCATGTGCTTACCGGTGGAAAGGCAGCGACTGTCGACAAGCAAATCACTCCACCGATGAGTCGATAAGCCAAACAATGACGCCACTAGAAGGGAAGGCACGACGCGCAAGCAGAGATGCAATTTTGAGAGATGATCACAGGATCGCTGTCCTGCCGGACAGAGCGAGAGTCCTCTGAGCGATGGCATCGTCTGCCTGAAGTGGACAAGAAAAAACTGCGGCTCCGCTCCTTTGAGCGGGCGTAACGCATCAACGTCCCGCCGATCCAGATATCGCTCAGCGGCAGCCCGCGCATTCTTGCGGGAGACGTTGCGACGACTCGTTCCCTGTCTTTGTCCTTTTTGGCATGGCGAGCTCAGTCCCGAGCACGCAAAAGCGAGCTCAATCCCGAGCTCGCAGAATGTTCACCTCATTCCTTCGTCAGACCATCAAAGGGAAGCGACCTATGTGACAAAATCGCTAAACGAATGTGCCACTTTTGCGAGAAACGGGGTGATCGAGTGAGGATCGAATTCCTCTTTTTCTCGAACCTGGCAAATTCGTTTGCGATTTTGTCGCGGGAGGCGCTGCTCTCTGTGGCTACCAGCATACTCTGTTTAAGAAACATCGCCAAAATTGCGAAATGCAAAAAGGGGCACCGGGAAGCTGATCGCACACCGACTGCGCAATTGGTGCCTTACAGGCTCTAAAAAGCTCAGCAGACGGCAGCTGACACTCGTTGATGTGCTTGGATGGAAGATCTGCCAAACCGAAGCCAATGCTGCTCGTGGGATCTGTAAAGAAGAAGCAGTTCTATCTCTGGTGATCAACATGCTCGGCCACTCTGTCAGCGCCGCCTTCGTCCCCCTCCTGCTGTGAAGGCAATGAAAGTGAGCGTCGCACAGCATCAGCCCACCGCTGCCCATCGTCGTCCTCTCTCGCGTCCCAACGTGTCCCTGTGGGATCTGGCCGGTCTGGCGCTTCACGCGGGCCCCCTGTTCATGCGGCAGTGCCTCACCTTCGACGAGGCCACGAAGAAGCAATGCGAGACCGACATCTCGCGCTGTGTGCGGCGGGTCTTCTGGGGAGAGGGGGAGGGAGAGGGCGGCAATGGTCCATTGCAGCTGGAGTGTCCGGCAATCAAGCGGTTTTCTGTGCTGGACGAGCGGCAGATGGGTGAGGCAATGGGTTACTTGAGGCAGGAGGGCTACTGCGTCATCGGGGACGTGATGGATGCAGCGATGCTGGAGAGGTGCCGTGAGGGCGTTTGGGATTGGCTCGAGAGCACCAACCAAAACCTGACCAGGTCAGTCAGCTAACAGCAGGTCACGTGCATTGAGATAGATAGATGGAAAAATGCATCCCATTCATGTGCCGTGTCTGCCATCCATCCTTTTCTTGCAGGCATGATCCATCCACATGGGACGACATCGGTTGGCTTGGCGACCTCGCCACCGGTGCTATCCACTCGATGGCTGTGGGCCACTCGGAGGTCATGTGGGCCGTCCGCACACACCACCTCACGCAAAAGGCCTTCCAGAGCGTTTGGGGCGTCGAAGGCGGCGAGTTGCTGACGTCATTTGATGGGCTGGGTCTGTATCGGCCGTGGCACAGGGAGGGTGCAGGGCACTGGAAGACCAAAGGGGGCTGGTGGCACATCGACCAGGACGCCCGGAAGAAGCCGGGCTTCGAGTGTGTGCAGGTCAGATCAGCTGGGGGATAGGATATCCACACACACATACACACCGGTCAATGAATGCATCAGGGATCAGGGCAGACAGACATGTGTCTTGTGTTGTGTTGTGTGTGGCCTGCCTTTTGTTTGTGTCTTTCAGGGTTTCGTGTCACTGTACGCGAGCGATGCGACAACGGGAGGTTTGTGTGTCATCCCCCGCTCCCACAATCACCATCGCCACCTCAGCCAACGGGCCGGCGCCATCGGGTCAGTCAGGACATACCCACATATATGAGAAAATACCACACACATTGTGCGCTGCGCACCAGGAGTGTCGGTGATTGATTTGTTGCCCTTCCTTTTGTTCTGTCTGTGTCAGTCTGCTTACGGGCGATTTTCTTCCTATCCCTCCATCTGATCCGCTCATCCGTTCTGTGGCGAATGGCAATCCGTCGTCCTCCTCTCTGTTGGACGACTCACTCCCCCGCCCCCTCCCGCCGCGTCTCGTCAGCTGTCAGGCTGGCGACCTGGTCTTGTGGGACTCTCGGTAAGTAAACACACACACAAGTCCGCGAGGATAGAGGCGCACACACACACATGTTAATACGGGGTGGGGAATGGGGGCGGTGTGTGTGTCAGGACGGTTCACTGCAATACGCCCGCATTGAAGGAGCCGACCTCCCCGACAGATCGGCTGCTGCGTGCGGTGGCATACGTATGCATGACGGCCAAGAGCAGGGCGACGCCGCAGGTCCGTGGCTGGCTGACGCCGCCATCACGGCACCTTTGCAGTGTCTGTGTCTGATGACATGGTGGCTGCAGGTGCTTGCGCAGCGTCGCCGCGCTGTGGCTGAGGGGACGACGCTCACGCACTGGCCGCACGAGTACCACGTGGCGGCCATCAGTGACCTCCCACAGCATCAGAGGTTCATGAGAAAGAGGAGGAAGGCAGCTGCCGGTGGTGTGACACAAGACGCTGTCGAGCGGCCTGAGGAGCGGGCATCGCTCATCGGATAGATGGCGATGACCCTTTGGCGTGTTTCGTGTTCCGTCTTTCGTTGACGTCGGCCGATATCGATGGCGGACCAGATTTTACAGCGTGTATATTGTTTGCTTGCGTGCGCCGTTTAAGTAACCGCGGTTCATTTGAGAATGTGTTGGTCTTTCTTGTCCATCCATCCATCCGTCCGTCCGTCCGTCCATTGTGCGTCTATCGTTCTATCTATCTCTCTAAGCAGCACTGCTAGCACCACCCGCCATTCCATCCATCCATCCATCCACCAACACATACATACGAGCCCCGCACGCAGTAGCGACATCTACATTGAGCCGAGCCGTCCGCCGCCGGTTGGAAGGCAGTCAGACAGACAGGCAGACAGGCGTTCGCTAAGGTAACCCGGCAGCCACACACGGACCGTTTCCATCCTCACACACACATCCCCGCTCCCCCTCCCTCTACGTGGCGCCCATCTACCTGTGCTGCATCTATCAGCGAACCCCTCACCCTCCATCCTCCCTACTTGTCCCAGTCTGGTGTGAACACCTTGAAGTCTATCTCTGGCTTGAGGTTGAGGTGCTGCTTCTCGCGGGCCGCCGTCTGCGCCGCCGACACAGTGGCGTGGCGCCGCAGCACGTTGGGGCCGGCAGACGCCACACTCGCCAACACACCCAACTCCATGTTGCGACGAACCACACCGTCGGCCTGACACACACACCCATCCATCCATCCATCCATCCATCTAGGTATGCTCACTTACCGGTTTGCCATCCTCCTTGTAGAAGATGGGGTCGCCGACTTGTTCGTCATTGGGCATCGGAGGGGTCTCTGTGCCCTCCTCGTCCGTGTCATCCTCCGTGCCCTCGCACTCGCCGCCGTCCATGCCCTCTCCCTCACCCTCGCCCTCTACGTCCACCTCCTCGCCAGCCGATGCGGCCATGGCCATGCCGCCCCGGCCCTGCAGCGCCTCCTCTATCTCCTGACGCAACGACAACAAACCTGCCACACACACAATACATACGCAACCAGGGAAGAGAGAGCATGTGATGGAGAGATCTGATCTGCGCACCGCACCCTGCGGCCATCCGATCCCACCGCTCTGTCTGATTTCTCACCGAAGTGGTCGGCTTCGGGGATGAGGTAGTGGAGGACCTCCGTCGGCCAGCGGCGGACCTGGCAGGCCTCACCCTGGCGGAACCACATCAGCAAGAGGTCCATGAGCTCCGAGTTGCGGTCGAGAAACACGTTGCGGTTGGAAATCACCGTGCTGTCGCCCATGGTCACTTCCTGCTTGCGCATCTCCGCCGTGATGTGGCCGATGAGAGATCTGCCATCGTCGGGTCGCGAGAGAAGCGTTTTCGTCTGGATCTGCACGTGCTTGCCGCCGACGTTGAGGGTGAAACGCTCCGGCAGGTCCGGTGCCGACAGGCTGGTGGGCACGGTGTCGCTACTTCGCTTCAGAGAAGCCATTCTCTTTCCGCAAAAAGCTCTGTTGTTTACATGTGTAAATCTCGGGGCCACAGAGGAGTTCTGCGCTACAAGACGGTCGTATCAACAGAAAAAGCGCTCGCATGCATAAGCCCACACTCATCCCGTCACACGCCCTCCACTAGTGGCAGCCCCAGCTGCGCAGCCAATCCATTCCTCGCTGCCAGGGCCTTGTCGAGAGCCACCCCCACCCCTCCCCGCCTGGCCGCGAACTTGCCCAGGTCATGCCTCCTTCCTCCGTGCTGCAGACGGACGCGAAAACACCGATCCTTCTCGCTCCACGCGATGCCCAGCCCCCGACCTTTGTTGTTTCTAACCCGCAGCTTCTTGAGCAGGTCAATGGGGTCGTCATCATCACACCCAGCGGCACTTGCCAGGACTCCCGCACGTGTGAGCTCATCTTGCACATAGGAAATGCCTCGCTGGTCGATGGAGAGGAAGTCGAGCGAGATGACTTTCCAGCCTCTGCTGGCCAGCGTTCGTCGCTTGTGGACGGCGGTGGCGTGGGCGATGAAGGCACCCTGACATACATGAGTGACCGGAGGAGTCATTGACACACAGACAACAGAGCGGTCGACATATTCACACATACATGGAGTGGGTGGCTACGTGCCGACCGACTGTCTGGTTGGCTGACTGACTGACCGTAGTGACGTCTCGGACAAAGTGCTTCGGGCCGTCAACCTCGATGGCAACTTTCTCATGACCCCGCTGCACAGCACAGCACAGCCAAGCCACCACACAACGACAGCACAGGTGGCCGGCCATGGATATGTGCGTGGGTCGGTTCACCTTACCAGTGTGATTCGGACATCGATCGAGACGCCCTCCTTTGTGACGGCCTCGTTCTCATGTAGGACGCCGAGAGCATCGAGCTGGTCCGACACGAGTGTGTGCAGGCGAGATGACTTGGTGGCCACCTCCTCCCCGACCACCGTGAGCGCCCTCTGCCACCTTGCCAGTGCCCGCACCCCTCCCCCACCCACAGCCCCCGGAACGACCCACTTGTTGTCCTCTCCCCCATCGCTGCTCCATTCAGACCCCTGCTCATCGATGGCCGCGTCGGTGTCTTGCAGATCGTCGGCGCATTGGTCGACCCAGGATGACGCTTGTGGACGAGTGGCCGGCGGCGGCTGTGGCTCTGTCGGTGATGTTGGAAGGGAACCGCACTCAACCTCCCACGCAAGGCGAGCCTGCTGCAGCCGGGATGCCACAATCTGTGTCGCCTCGTCCATTGCCTTGTCGGCCGTGAGCACCGCAGCGTGTGAGAAGATGCGCTTGAACAGCCCAGCCGGCTCAAACACCCCACATACGGCGAGCGCACGGCCAATAATCGACGCGACGACCAAGTCAAGGTCCAGCTGCCGCCGATCTGACAGACATTTGCACACCAGTTAGTCATGCCTACCCTACACCAAATGGCTGACCCATGGCATGGCAAGTGTTGTGTGCGCAGCTCACACACCAGCGGTATCTGCGATGAGAGCAGCACATCTCCTCAACCCATCCGTCGGAGCACAGAGCGTCAGAGCCGATGCGCATCGACACACCAGAGCTGGACTTATCGTGTCCAGGGAACCACGATACTCGATGGCAGTGGCGAGTGCCTCCATGAGGGCGGGGTGATGCACTCGGGCATTGGCGAGATGCTCGAACGTGAGCAGGGTGGCCGGGAGGTCGGCTGACGCCAAGAGGCTTATGTATCGCTCGCAAATGGCCTAAAATGAGAGACAGCCACAACCAGGCACCAGGGGAGTACAGCAAAGAAGGTTGCGTGCTTCTTGGGTTGTGTTAGTTACCCTCCATGTGGTGAGGTCTGCCTCGGCGGTCATCCTTTTGCCGTCCTCTGCGAACGCCATTAGCCCAATCAATCGACGCAGAGCCCTCATGTCCATCCTGACACAACAGCACAGCACAGCACACACATGGAATGGACCGCCCAGTCGATGGAAGCAGCTCGAACATGAATGAATGAATGCCTTTCAAATTCCATTCACCTGCTGAGCGATTTCGTGTCTGTGAGAGGGCCCGCCAGGTACTGCTCCACCCGCTCCCTCACCCCTTCGGCCACGTCAGCCCTCCTCGCAACTTCCACGGCAATATCCAGCACAGCCATGACGACGTCAGGGGGCCCATAATGACGTGACAGACCGCGCTCAAGAATGACGTCGACCAGGCGCTGCATCCACCCCACCCATACCATACACACACACACAGCACAGACACGTGAGTGAAGTGACCTGACCACGTCCCTCTTCACTCTCTCCCCCCATTTAGCCCAGCCCACTTGTGCATCAGCCCGCCCCAGCTCAGCGCGTTCGAACACCCTCAAGGCTCGTCGGACCTCTCCCGCGTCATGATCCGCCGCCAACCGGTCAACCATCATATTCACAGGTCGCCAGCTGGCAGCCGCGCCTCCGATCGCCACATAACGACACAAGATGGCCGCCACGCGCGCAGATGGTTCCTCCCTCAGCGCGCGAGAGATGACCATGTCGACCGCCGACTGTGGCAACACACCCGGGAGATGTACGACGGCGAAAATGAGGCTGGCGATGGATGAAGGGTCGAGGGCTGTGCGGTGGTACAATAGAACTGTGAGGATGGTGTCCATCAGCGATGTGTAGAAGGCCGGATACGCGTCAGCCAGCCGTTTGCCGTGCTGATGCTGGTGCATGTAGGCCAAGGCCAGCCCGAGTGCCGCCGTCTCGTCGGCCTCGAGAGAGGATGTGTCCTTGGCAGGGAGTACGACATCCGCGATCCGTTCCTCAATCGCCTTAACGAGCAGCCTCTCCGTTTTCTTCTTCATTTGCTGGTCACGCAAGAGCTTGCACAGCGTCAGCAGCAAGTGCACGCGTCGTTTCCGCTCCCATTGCACGCCCTCCACGTTTGCCGATGCAAGGGCCACCACGACGGCCTCAGGGACACCGTCGAACACCCGTGGGGTGATCCGGGCAAGCCTCCACAGGTCGGCGAGTCGCTTGGATGGCTCTCGTGGGTCGGGAACACTGTGAGAAGGTCGCGATCGCTCCACTGCGGCCGTCACCTGATCCGGCAGGCAACAGACATTCCATATCGCATGGACGTGTGTGCTGCACATGAAGACGCACCTGTTTGGCGATGGCGTCACGGTGGTCCTCCACGAACGACGGATAGCGGTCCACCAGGCCATCCAGGAGTCCCGTCACCTCATGTAGGGTCATGTTACCCTCATTCAGTCTACCCCCCAGCTCCGTCAGCAACGGCTCCATCCGCCTGTTGCCAAGCCCCCCGATGCTTCTGTGAGTTGAGAGGAGGCTGACCAGAGAAGACGTGTCCTCTTCATGCAATTCCTGGAGGGATGCGTCGAGCAGCCATGACAGCGTGCGGGGGTCGTCAGGGGCCATGCCGGTGCGATGGTACACGAGAAGAGCCCGCCGGGCTGCCTGATGACAGACAGGAACGAGGACACAGACACGGTTGTGTTGTGTGAGGGTTGAGGGGAGACCTGTGTAATAAATACCTTTCTCTTGGCTGCATCGTCGTATTGAGCTGTTGTTGCGGCTTCGGTGATAGACCTGATCAGCTCCATGACGTCGCCACGCGCTGCGAACAACCTCACAGCCGCACGGAGTGTGCCCTCGTCAGCATGCGATATGTGGCCGGACACGTACTGACAGAAAAGTACAGGGAAGGATCACTACCGCCGCCGCCCTCTGTGCACTCACCCTCTCGCCCCACTCACCGCAGCAACGCTGTCGAGCATGAGACTGTCGAGTGAGGCATCAATCGGTGGAAGCTGGCTCAACTCATTCAGCAGCCGCTCGATGGCCGGGTCCATCTCACTCTCTGCCGTCATGCTCTGCAGCAGAGAGGGGACCAGGGCCACCATCTGCCCCACGAGCAGATGGTCGCTGTGCTGTAGCATGCGAAGGCCGTGCAGGGTGAGGTAAATTGTCTTGGGCGAGAGGGAGGTCGCACCACCGCCACATACACTTTGGAGGACAGCAATGCAATACACACGCGAGTGTATTCATTCATGTGTGCGTGAATGCAATGCAATGCAATGCATGTGTGTGGGTAGTGAGTGGTACCTGATGTGCCGTTGCAGGGTGTCGGTGAGTTTGGTCAGTAGGGGAGGGGAGTCCCACTGCAGCTCACCCGCAGCCCATATCAGCGACCCACACTCCTGACACACACACAACACAGGGAGGCAGACGTGTGTCTGTCCACACATCCATTCATCCATCCATCCCCTGACCTCAGGTGTTGCCTCCGACGCTTCCTCCCGCACGCACCTCTCCACCCTTGACAGCAGCCTTTCGTCTCGCCATCCCAAGCTGGCCATCGTCAGCAGCATCAAGTCAGCATCTCTTATGCTCGCGGCTGCAAGACTATCCTCGCGGCTGCAGATGGCTGTGGCCACGGCGTCGAGCAGACGAGACGACGACCATTTCAGTCGACCCATGGCCCACAGAATCTGCGACATGCCTTCGGGCTGGGTATGGTTCAGGTGGTGGATCACTATGGGCTCGAGAGCCTGCGAAAACGCCATAGTGTAGGGGTAAGCAAGTGAGGAGACCCCCAGCGTTGCTGACCTTGAGCGTCTTGTCATCCCTCCATTTCAGCTTCCCCATTGCCCAGACTACGTTCGCGAGGCCCTGTGACGTCTTCTCAGGCCGCCTGCCGTTAACACGGACCACATAGTGCTGGACGAGCCGTGTGAAATTATCCCCTGCCGTCCACTGGAGTGACCCCAATCCGAATAACATGGTTGCGATGGCCCCGATTTCGCGAAGCGCGTCGCCGTCGGGCGAGCAGCGAGACAGGAGAGATGACAGGCGCTGGAAGGAAAGGGAAATCAATGAGATGATTGGATGTCTCTGCCTGCCTTTTGCCTGGCGCTGCTCACCTGGCGGATGCCATCAGTGGCGACCCCCACGTGACCAACCGCCCATACCAACGTGGCCACTGCCTGCCAGTCCACCCTTCCCTCACCCGCTTCCCTCTCCGCTGCGGCCAGTGCATTGCAAACCAGCGTCTCATATGACCGCCACTCTAGCCCCAGGTCGCCCTCCGCCACGCCTTCCCACCAGCCAAGCTTCGCGAGGCTGCTCACGGCGTTGGCCTGTAGCATCAAATCGGCCGTGCGCATCTTGTCGACGGCACGTGCGACGAGGGCCAGGAATCTATGGTCGGTAAAGAGGTCTCTCCGCCTTTCCATGTCCACGGCCGTAACGGAAATGCCTGCAATGGCGAGAGCGAGATTGGTTGCATCGAGGAAGGGGATGCCCGCGCGGTGATCGTCGAGGCGAAAGGAACAGCATCGGCTGAGCAGGTCGTCCCACGAGAGAGTCTCGATATCTCGCGAGAGCGTCCGGCTGAAAGCTGCCTGGCCCATCCTGTCGCCAGAGTGCATGATAGCCAGCTCGTCTGCGGCCTCGTGCTCGCCTCGAGCTTTGAGGAAGGCGATGGCGTTGGAGCATTCTGCACTTTCGATGTCCTTTCGTCCCTCGGCCGTCTCGATTCTAGCCAGCCACGCGCTCTTGAGCGCAACAAAGAAGCCCTCCACGGCAGCACGCCCAAAATGGGTCTCTTCATCCAGATAATGGCACCTGAAAGGCCCTCCATAGGTCAGCCGCACCATAACCATGGTGATCGCATCAAGAAGAGATGATGGGGTGCCATCAAGAAGCGGCAACAGACTCCGAGACCAATGCGTTGCCAGGTCGATCAGCGTCTGAGGTGGGTTGCTTCCGTCGGGATACACTGCGGCGAGATGCTGACACAGTCCTCTCATGAACGGCGCGATGCTTCCCCTTCTCCACTTGGTAGCGAGGTCGGCGTGAGGTGATGCTGACATCAGATATTGCGCAGTGAGGGGCAGCAGAGAGGGCGGGTGGTGGCCAAGGTCCCCTAACGCAGGTAAAGCCGTGGCCACAAGACTGTTGGGGACGGTATCAGGGCGACCCGCGAGGTCACGCAATAGCCGCGAGGTGGACAGCTGACAGAAGAGACAAAGGATATGGAAGACACGTCCATCGCGTGCCCAGTCAGCGCTAACCTCTAGCATTTCATCGTCCCTCCACTGGCCTCTGCTTATGGCCTTGATCATGGCAGCCAAAGTACGGGGCGTCACGCGGACGAAGCTCTCCTTCGTCATCCGCATCAGCGCCCTCACCGCCGCATCGTGCCTGATCCCTCCCTCGGCCACGGCATGCCACAAGAATCCCATGTCAGCCTCCTCAAACGCACCCGGCGTCGCTGCGTACGCCAGGATGGCGGCACTGAAGCGATCGAGGGATTCACGAGGAACATCGGCGCCCAGTCTGCGATACAAGCGAACGCGTGAATGGGGGCTTGCAGCCATGATGGGTGGGCCGGCTCGCCTGCCTATTGTCTTATCATGTTGACCTTGTCAGAGCCCAAAGACAAGTAGCCAGTGACCTTGGCTCCATCTTGTCGATGCCCGCCAGGGTCTCCTCCACCAGCTGCTGGAACCGACTGTCCTCTCTCATGGTCCGCAGCTGCTCAGCCCCTCGCGCAACCTTGGAAAGCTGCAGCAGCGCCACGCTGCACGTGAAGGGACGAAGGGAGCCCCGGTAGCGATGGCAGACGCCTAACAGCTCATCCGACGTCGCAGCTTGTCGTATCTGCTCGCTGCTGCTGGGGCGGCGGCGAGAAGCCGCTGGCCGTGATGGTCCCTGCTGTTTCGTGGCGCTTGCTGGTGTGGATGCACCCTTGATGACGGCCCACCTCTCCCTCCGGTTGACGGAAGGATGATGAGCGATAGATGGAGCCTTGGGGGGCAGCAGGAGGGGGACGAAGGCTGTGCTGACAGAGTGGGCGAGCATGTTGATCACCCAGAGATAGAACTGCATTCGTCTTGACAGATCCCACGAGCAGCATTGGCGTCGATTTTGGCAGATCTTCCATCCAAGCACATCAACGAGCACATCAGCTGCCGTCTGCTGAGCTTCTTAGAGCACGAGTCAGCGTGCGAGCTCAGCTTCCCGGTGCCCCTTTTGGCATTTCCCCATTTTTGCGAATTTTCTTTGACTGAGTATACTGGTAGCCACAGAGAGCAGCGCCTCCCGCGACAAAATCGCAAACGAATTTGCCAGGTTCGAGAAAAAGAGGAATTCGATCCTCACTCGATCACCCCGTTTCTCGCGAAAGTGGCACATTCGTTTAGCGATTTTGTCGCATAGGTCGCTTCCCTTCGATGAGCTCTCAACGTCTGACGAAGGAAAAAGCAGGGAATATTTTGCGAGCTGAGGGCTGAGCTTGCAATTATGCGAGCCCGGGACTGAGCTCGCCATGGCAAAAAGGGCAAAGAAAGGGAATGAGTCGTCACAACGTGTCCCGCAAGAATGCGCGGGCTGCCGCTGAGCGATATCTGGATCGGCAAAATGTGGATGGGTCACGCCCAAGCCACCCTCTCTACGCGCCAGGGCCTTCGGCAGAGCATCCCCATCCCCCTTCGTCCACGGCGGACGATGCTGCTCTTGTCAGGAAGCTCTCGACTTCCTGACGGACGCGGTGCCGTCGATGCGGGATGACCCGGCCGCTGTGTACGAGGGCAAGGTCAAGGGGCGAGTGATGCGGCTGGACAACCAGCCCAGCAAGAAGCAGCAGCAGGGAGAGCCCAAGGCCAAGCAGAAGCCACCACGGCGGCTCACCAAGATGAGCAACAACGAGGCCAGGAGACGGGGCCTCTACGACTTGCAAGACGGCACACTGAGTTATGCCGACTGCCTCCCCCTGAATGAGTTGTGGAGCCAGTACGCCGAGCAGCTGATGCACGAGCGGCTGCCCATCACCGAGAGGGGCAGCCGGCTGGCGGCGGCCGACCTGCATGGCGCATTTGTGAGGGTGGACT